ATGACTGCTGGTTTGCTCTCATGACATTGTTAATTGCATCAGCTAAAAAGGCAGAAATTACCATTTTGATCAGGTTAAATCGAAGGACTGATTCAGATGGACGTAGATTTTATTTCTGTATGGATTCTAATGTTTATTACTATTATTTGTAGTGTTTGCCAAAGTATTTAAAGTACTTGAAATGAAATGTTTTCAGAAATACTACATCCGCCATATTTTTTTACTTTGAAGTCATGTATTGTAGAAGTGTAAACGTGACTAGGAGTGCAGCAGGTGTGAGAGCTGCTCTTCTCCCACAGTGCTCTCCTGGAGGAAGAGGAATGAGGGCTGAGAAACTGGAATAGGGCAAAGATGATAGAACAAGCTGATAAATTTATCCTATTTGGATTACAGAAAACATGGTGAGATGCTTTGCCTAAAAATTTTGCAAGGAACTATACACTTAGCAAACAGGCAAGTGGGCAGACACTATTCTTATTGCTCCTCAGAATCTTTTTCTGTTCTGAACAAGCATATTTACTATGTTAACTGAGTACTTAGGTATTTTAGAACATGATTTTGCATATGTGGCTTATGAAATATTGATTAACAATGAGAAATCACAAAACTTGACTTTCAGGACCAGTTTTTCTTCTGTTTATGCAGAAGAAATCTGGCATTTACACTCACCAGTTAACTAATCAGTGTGCATCAGCAGGTTGGGTGTTTTCTGACAGTTCTAAAAAGCATTGGCTGTTGAGGTCTTCAGATTCTTTTCTGTAATGTCTACACCTTTAACTGGAAAGTGTTTGCCAAAAACTAAATTACAGTTATTTCGGTGACTTGTCAATTGGTAATGAGGATTATATTCTTACTATGGAACAGAATGTCAGATAAAAACATCTTAGTAAAGTTTGTTGTATAGTGATGGTTTTGTTATGCCTTGTATGTTGGCTTTTTTCCATGAAGACTGTTAATAGCAGCAAATTATTGATTAAAATAGTGCTTTGCTGAACGTGACTGTGAGGTAATGTGTTGACTAGGATATTTTGTATTGCTGAAATCCTGATGTATTAGGTGATGAAGGCTCAGTGCTGGGTCCTAAACTTGGGTCACAACACCACCATGCAATGTGACAGACTTGGGGAAGAGTGGCTGGAAAGCTGTCCTGAGGAAAAGGCCCTGGGGGTGGTGATTGACAGTCACTGCATATGAGCCAGCAGTGTGCCCAAAGAGGCTAATTAAAAGTAATACAGTTAATACTAGGGTATATTTTTTGCAATTTTCTTGTTGGTTTTTAATCATGTTACTGACTCCCTGGATTTGCCTCAAATTTCTTGTACGAAGAGGAGGCTTAGGGATTTGCTAACTAAATAAATCCCAAGGAAACAAATTCTGTTTTAGAGGTAGAGCTCTTAGAACATTTTTGTTATTTGTTTGGCTTTGAGAGAGAACAAAGCATATAGTGAAACTGAGAGTCTTTTCAGTTATTTAGGGGTGTCCTTTTAAACTTCCGGGTTAATTTTTGTGTAGGCCCTGACAAGGCAATCAAGTGGCAGTTTACATACACAAAGGCACGTGTTTGCACATCTAAATCATTGTGTTCCTAATGAAGTGGCTTAGTATTTAAGCCGGAGAGAACGTCTTCAACCTTTCCCTCCAGTGCTGCAGCTGACTGTTAACAAGCACAGAAGGTCTCAAGTAAGAGGGACCTGTGCTTTTGGTGGGAGGGAGATTGTGTTCAATACCTGGGTACAAATTCATTAGTACATACCTACAGTGGTAGCATGTGGGTAGTTACCTTGCTGCTTTTGAGTGTAATGTGCATCTTTAATGACTGCTGGTTTGCTCTCATGACATTGTTAATTGCATCAGCTAAAAAGGCAGAAATTACCATTTTGATCAGGTTAAATCGAAGGACTGATTCAGATGGACGTAGATTTTATTTCTGTATGGATTCTAATGTTTATTACTATTATTTGTAGTGTTTGCCAAAGTATTTAAAGTACTTGAAATGAAATGTTTTCAGAAATACTACATCCGCCATATTTTTTTACTTTGAAGTCATGTATTGTAGAAGTGTAAACGTGACTAGGAGTGCAGCAGGTGTGAGAGCTGCTCTTCTCCCACAGTGCTCTCCTGGAGGAAGAGGAATGAGGGCTGAGAAACTGGAATAGGGCAAAGATGATAGAACAAGCTGATAAATTTATCCTATTTGGATTACAGAAAACATGGTGAGATGCTTTGCCTAAAAATTTTGCAAGGAACTATACACTTAGCAAACAGGCAAGTGGGCAGACACTATTCTTATTGCTCCTCAGAATCTTTTTCTGTTCTGAACAAGCATATTTACTATGTTAACTGAGTACTTAGGTATTTTAGAACATGATTTTGCATATGTGGCTTATGAAATATTGATTAACAATGAGAAATCACAAAACTTGACTTTCAGGACCAGTTTTTCTTCTGTTTATGCAGAAGAAATCTGGCATTTACACTCACCAGTTAACTAATCAGTGTGCATCAGCAGGTTGGGTGTTTTCTGACAGTTCTAAAAAGCATTGGCTGTTGAGGTCTTCAGATTCTTTTCTGTAATGTCTACACCTTTAACTGGAAAGTGTTTGCCAAAAACTAAATTACAGTTATTTCGGTGACTTGTCAATTGGTAATGAGGATTATATTCTTACTATGGAACAGAATGTCAGATAAAAACATCTTAGTAAAGTTTGTTGTATAGTGATGGTTTTGTTATGCCTTGTATGTTGGCTTTTTTCCATGAAGACTGTTAATAGCAGCAAATTATTGATTAAAATAGTGCTTTGCTGAACGTGACTGTGAGGTAATGTGTTGACTAGGATATTTTGTATTGCTGAAATCCTGATGTATTAGGTGATGAAGGCTCAGTGCTGGGTCCTAAACTTGGGTCACAACACCACCATGCAATGTGACAGACTTGGGGAAGAGTGGCTGGAAAGCTGTCCTGAGGAAAAGGCCCTGGGGGTGGTGATTGACAGTCACTGCATATGAGCCAGCAGTGTGCCCAGGTGGCCAAGAAGGCCACGGCATCCTGGCTTGTATCAGAAATAACGTGGCCAGCAGGACTAGAACAGTGATTGTCCCCCCGTACTGCACTGGTGAGACTGCATCTCGGATTCTGTCTTCATTTTTGGGCACCTCACTTCAAGAAGGACATTGAGGCGTTGGAGTGAGTCCAGAGAAAGGCAAAGAGGCTGGTGAAGGGTCTGGATATGAGAAGCAGCTGAGGGGACTGGGGTTGATTAGCTTGGGGAAAAGGAGGCTGAGGGGAGACCTCATTGCCCTTTACAAACTACCTGAAAGGTTTAAGTTGCAGTGAGGTGGGGGTTGGCCTCTGCTCCCAAGTAAGCAGCAACAGGGCAAGAGAAAATGGCCTCAAGTTGCACCTGGGGGGGAAGCGGTTAGGTTGGATATCAGGCAAAATTTATTCACAAATAGTTGTCAGGGTCTGGGACAGGCTGCCCAGGGAAGTGGTAGAGTCACCATCCCTGGAGGTGTTTAAAAGGCATGTGGTTGTGGTGCTTAGGGACATAGTTTAGTGGTTGGCTTGGCAGTGCTAGTTTAATCGTTGGACAATCTTAAAGGTCTTTTCCAACCAAAACAATTATCTGAAGTACAGCATGGATGACTGTGGCTGCTTATTATAGCTGTTACTAATTTTTGGCTGAAAGCCAAAATTTGTTGTTTGCTCAAATGCTGTAAATATTACCCAGTAAATATTTATCTCTAAAACTGAATTACAAACAGACAAGTACTTTTATTTTGTAGGTTAAAAAATATTTTATCCTCATGGACCTCTTTTTTCTTTGTAGTCATCTGGGTACTGTCTCATATTCCTTAAATTTTAATTTTATTTCATTTTCTGCTTGTGTGCAACAGATGGCTCTGTGTCATCTTTGCCTCTGTCAAAGGGAAGTACCTGAATTGGAATCCTTCTAGTTCCTATAGAAATGGACATGGTGACTCAGTTTTTCTATACTGGTTTATTGATCACTGACCACTCTCTTTCGTAGTGCAGTAGGTTTTCACAGTACACTTTGCTGGAAAACACGGTTTGTGTTCATTATGGTGCAATAAGAAGGCCACTGATATGTTTCTATCTTCTATTAGTTATTAACCTTTTTTAGAGTGTCTGGTTGCATGTAGACATGAGTCTCTTGAAATAGTCACTACAGGTATTTTGGAATGTTCCCTTTTTAGTAAGGTCAGCATAAATGAAACCGTAATTCTTTCAATAATGACTGCATGAAAGGAAATAACACTAGTGTTTTATAATAGATGTAATACATTCCAAAGAAAATTTCCAGGCTCTGCAACTGGCTTGCTGTTGTCCCAAAGAAAATTAAGCCAGGATAAACTTTCTCAGTGTCCCGCATTTACATGTAGACTTATGAGAGAGGATTTTATTGTACATCCATGATTGTTGTTGTCAGCACTGAGTTGGTGTGGGTGCCGAGCTCTTGTGGACTCTGGAAATAAAGGTGTCCAAAAGTAATCAGTGTTTGACTCTTGTTTATATTTAAATAAAAAAAATATTGGATGTTCTTTCTGGAGCATCTTGATCTTGCATTTAGTAGTACTTCAGAAGAAAACTGCTGGGCTTCCATGAATGCTCAGAAGTGTCTTTATTTTATAAAAATGTGGAGTCCCGCTTTTGCTGAACTGTGCTAATGATTTGCAGAACAGTCAGAGCAAAGGCAGAAACAAATTAATTCCTGATTTTAATAAATTTTTACTTAAGGGCTTGGACTGTAATTTTTAGTTGTTTTTTCCAGGCAATGGAAAATCCTAGCTGCAGCCTGACCTGTCCTTAGGCTGCACCATGCAAATACTGAGGAACTTAAAAGAGTATTTTAGAAATCATTAACATTATGAGTAAAATAAGAGGGATCAAGATGGGGCTTTTTACTTTTTTCCAGTTTCTCTGTTGCTGTACATGGAAAAAAAATGAGTTAGGATTATGTGCTTCTGTTTCAGGACTTAAAATGGCAGGAGAAGATTCCTATATTCTGGGAGTGTCTGATCCCCAAGTAAGTGGATTTGGTTTTTTTCAGTATCCCTGTGTTCTCTTCCAGCTCTTTTTTGGCTGTGTGTGATATTGTCCTGTCATTTCCTTGGCTTGACAACATGGAGATATAAAAGCATTCCAGCTCTTGGCAGAAATCAGGTTTGGGGAAATTTTGGGGTTTTTTTTCTCTAAGGTATTTTTGTGACCTCTAAAGTGCCTTGCCACTGATGAAATGGCTGAAATGAAAAGGAAAGCTAGGCCTGCTGGAGGAAGCAATTGAAAAAATACTAATTTTTGTGCCATGTGACACTTGGTCTGAAATTTCTCCATGGTGAGCATTGGTCTTCATCTGCAAATAAAGCCACTTATGTCCAAAAAGACCCCTTTGTATAATTTTTTGTGAATTTTGCATTGACGTTGATGAGTGAAGTGTTCCTTCACTCACAGAGATCAGTAGGCCTGGCTTTTCAGAAGCTCTTCCTGATCCCATTAGGTCATTTTGTGATCCACTTAAGTTGTGAAAATGGTGCTTTACTGAAAAGCTTGAGTGAAGAACAGATCATTTCTACTCATCTTAATTTCCAAAAATAAATTACTTAAACCTTTCTGCATTCTCCACTTCAGAAGAAGATACTTTGTATCTGACAAGAATTAAATGAGTTAAGACATGTCAGTGTTTAAAAAAAAAAGTAAATTTAACTTGAGTATACTGTTTTATTGCATTATAACTTGTAAATACTTTCTTAAGGAAGATAGTCTTATGGGGTTTAATCACAGAAGTGGAAATGAAAACTCATAGGTTCTCAGCAAGACTTTGGACAAGACAACTATGAATTTGCTTTTCAGAATTTGCCATCTAAGCTCTCTTAAATATGCAGCTGTTAGTGCATTTAAGCAAATGTGTGCTTAGAAACTTCTGAGCTCTGTGGTCTCATGATACTGATGAAACTTGGTCAGTACTATCAACTTTGCTTGCACTGTTGTTGCCAAAAAAAATAAATACAAACTGTTTACATACTGTACTGGGGTGTTAGCAGTTTCAGTATTTGGATAGAACCTGGATGTTCTTTGCTGATAGATGCTTTATAAAATTAGTAATGAAATATGTATTTTCTTTTAATATAGATGTTTGCAATGGATCAGTTAATGGGAATGAATGCATTATTTAATAATACAAATTACATCACTTCAGACTTGCCGCTACGAACAGGTAGGAACTGTTGCTCTTTGGTTGTGCTATTGTCTTGCTTTTTCTTCCAGTTTATTTTTTTGTGACATTCTTTTCAGAGGCATTTTTGTTTACACTCTTTTTATTTTATTTTTTTAGAATCATAGAATCGTTTAGGTCAGAAAAGACCTGTAAAATCATGAAGTCCAACCATTAACCTAACTTTCATAGCACTAAATCTCAAGGTTGTCAACTAGACTTACTACTTATTATACCCCTAGGCATCTCTTTCTTGCCCTCATGAAACTTTCAGTACTGAGGCAAATCTGATTTTCTCCTGGTTTGTACAGAAACATGAAAGTTTCTGTTATCTAAATGATTTGAGTGACCAAAGAGCTTTGAGCAACTTGGTTTTATACGTTATTTTGTATTTTTTTCTAAATTTGCATCTTCAGTGACCTACATGTTTGTATTGCCTGAGTTCAATGTATACTTTCTTTTTTTTTAATCATTGTTTCGTTTGTTGTAATAACTCTTAAGATGTGCTTGTTTTTCTCTAGTAAAATGTAGAATATATATACAACTTCCGGTATAATTCAAGTCTGTTTTTCCTTCTTGGTGACTTCTCTGTTTCCTGTAAAGTGGCAGTCTGGTATTAAAAGTACCTGACAATTTCCTGAATAATAACAGTAGTTTGAAAGTTCAGAGTCCAGTTTTGAAACCAGCTACTGAAAATAAGCAAATAACATTCTGCAAAGGTCTGATATGCAGTTTTTCCCCTATGGTCCCAGAACAGGAATATCAAATAGAAGTGTGTTACCTCTCAGCCAGTATCAGCTGCTTGATCAACCTAGGTCTGGTTTTGCTTATTAAATTTCTTTATAATTATTACTTCTTGTTTGAATTTAGAAAACTGTTTCTCTTGCTTAGTTTATTAGAATAGCTAATATTAAAGGAGGAAGGAAGTAAGAATTTATTTAGGTGTATGAAGTTTTTCTTAATTTATATCTCCAATAATATGTCTCCAATATAGCTATTATCTTTTCACATGACAACTGATCTGTTCCTGTTGCATCTGGAGGTAGCTGGTACCTTCTGTGTTGCAGATTGCTTTCTTTTGCTGAAAATGCAGATCACTTCTATTTGCAGTGTTTTATACACTTGACAGCAGTGAAGGGTAAAATGAAATAAGAAATTAGCTTTTTTTCTCGATAGGTAAAATTCCACCCTAAAGAAACACTAAATGCTGTTGCAAAAATAAAAATGAAGACATACTTACTGTTTCAGTTAAAGCAAACTTCAGTTTTCTTGACTGAAAACTAGCAAGGAAAAATCAAGACACACTTGGTACAGATAATTTTATTTCAAGATAAAATGTTCTGATGAGGAAAGCTCTTGACAAATATAGAAAAGCACCCAACAAATTAATGTTGCAATCATTTGTTTGCAGTGTGTTTTTATTAAGATATAAAATTGTTCAGTAAGATGCTTCTCTGTAGGATTAAAGGGTTTATGCATTATATGCCAAGGTTTTTTTTCACCTTTCTCACAGTTTCTTTGGCATGAAGATGATGATTAGAATTTTTATTTCCCCATAATCATCTCTCTTACATGTACCTTTTAAGCTTACTCTGTATTCCTCATACCGGACTCCTTCCATACAAATTTATCATCTATATAAAACTGATTTTCAGAGAGATATATATATATGTCCTGTCTAAACTAGAAAGAAACTGTTTTTAAAACCTTACAAGGAAATCAACAATTTACTGACTTCAGTCACAGAAAACTTACTGGGCTAAGTCTAGTTCTATCCTTAATATGCAAAATTGCTTAGAAAAGGAGGGTTTTTTTAACAACACTGCTCCTGACACTATAGGTGGCAAGTTTCCTGCGTACAAAATGGGATTTAATAAAGGATCATGGGTTTCATGTTATCACAAACAAAAAGTTAATAATAAATTTTAGATAAAGTTGATGATTTTAATGCCATAGTGATTTTATTTCTTGAGTAATATCACTATAATGCTTACTTCCTCACCTGGTTGAAACTATGGTCTGTCATTACTGTGGAATAGCTCTTCAGTTATAAGATAATATAATAATTTATATTTTGTGCTCTAATTGTTTCCAAGCAGGAACTAATTATTTCTTTCTGCACAGCAAGACCATTTAAAAATTCATGCAGGTTTTTCCAAAAGTACTTCCAGCTGAGATATAGAGAAGGTGAAGTAAGTGTTCTGAAAAGGATTTTTCTCTAGGACAGTTGGATGTTTTAAACCGAAAACAACAAAGACACTAATGGTTGCTCATGATTTGGTATGGTGCCTGCACCTTTCAAACTGCATTCATAAATGCACACTGTCTGCCCTTTTACAATGGCAGGCAGGTTTAATGTGTAACTGTGGGTTGCCATATCATGCCAGCATAGTGAATCAACAAATAGCTGGGGAATTTGGGGACTTTCTTATGGTAGATATTCTGCTGTTATGTTAATATTTACAGTAACAGCAGAAAACCTTTGAGATGTTGGGGCAAAGATTTTCTCAGTGAGGTTGTCAGTGCTCAAGTGTCTTCGCTTGTTTCTTTTTCTATCCCCTATCTGCCAGTTTTAAGTAAAAATTAGAGTTGGTTGTTTTGGCTCTAAAGCTCTAGTAGATAGTTATGTGGTTCAAGCTCTACATTTACATTTAAATCTAGAAGGTAGCCACTGTGTGCCTTTGGTGACAAAAAGATGTATCTATGATACATGTCATAACAATGCAAGCTGCAGGACTGAGCCGTGTGTGCAAAACATCACCAGTAGAAAGGGCTGTTCTGGAGGACCTGGCTAACAGAGGAGGTGAGGGGGGGACTTGACCACAGCTGGTTGCAGGTTAAATTGTGTGGCTTCAGGTACTAGATAAGCTGGTAGATAAAGGACCACACTAGACCTGTGGTGCTGCCAGACTGCAGGGGGATCCCTCCAACCTCACAGACCCCTTTTTTCTTTGCTGTGATGGGAAGAAGAAACCAAGAGGGAGCCTAAGATGAATACTCCTTTGGGAAGTGTGTGTGCAGGGTGAGGCCTGTGAAGAGGAAGAAAGAATGTAAGTGTTGGGAGTGTCAAGATGCAGGAGGGCCTCTGACTCAGGCAGGAAGGAAAATGAAGAAATGTAGCAGTTGAAGAAGGCGTGGGGAAGTGGGACTGTGACTCAGGCTGGAGGGGAGGCAGTGGGATGTGAGTTGTTTTGTGGCAACGGGGGCGAGAATGCAGAAAAGGAAGCACTGAAGCATACCTAGGATGTGGCAGACTGCAGCAAACCCCCATCAGGCTGGAGGACTGCATGTTTTAGTTGCAGTTTTAAGCCTTCTGACTGCACCAGTGCCAGGCATATTGTAAGGAGTGCTCATGTCAAAACTTGGCTCTTGGCAACCATGGGAGTCACTCCTGTGTAGAGGTCAGCTCCACAAGTGTGTGCTGCCTCAGTCTCTTAGGGCAAAAGTAGAAGTTAAGTTATGCATCAAATATCGTTCCTTCTTGTGGTTGTTTAACACTTAAAGGGAGATTGCTTGTTGAATGAGAACTTGAAGCAAGCAACTTCCCAGCCTAGAACAGAGGTGCAAAAAATCATCACAAATCTTGTCATTATTAAATCCTCTTTCAAGATGGGAGATGATTCTCCCCCTCCACTTTGCTCTTGTGAGACCCCACCTGGAGTACTGTGTCCAGCTCTGGAGCCTCCTTCAAAAGAGGGACCTGGAGCTCTCAAAGTGAGTGCAGAGGAGGGCCAAGAAGATGATCAGAGGGCTGGAGCACCTCTCCTGTGGAGGCAGGCTTAGAGAATTGGGGCTGTTCAGCCTGGAGAAGAGAAGGCTCTGCGGAGACCTTTTAGTGGCCTTTCAGTATCTGAAGGGGGCCTGCAGTGGGGAGGAACCTTTTGCAAGGGCCTGTAGTGGTAGGACACAGGGCAATTGTTTTAAACTGGAAGAGGGTAGATTTAGGTCAGACAATAGGAAGATGTTCTTTCCTGTGAGGGTGATGGAACAGGCTGCCCAGGGAGGTTGTGGCTTTCCCCTCCATGGAAGCGTTCCAGGCCAGGTTGGATGGGACTTTGAGCAACCTGGTCTAGTGGGAGGTGTCTGCACATGCAGGGGCATTGAAACTAGATGATCTCTAAGGTCCCTTCCAACCCAAACCACTCTATCATTCTGTGTACATCTTCAGGTTCTTACTGTCTGCTTAAACCAGACATGCCTACTAATAGAAATGAAATATTTAAAAACTTCCTATGCAATATTGTATTTTCCTCAGAGGAGAGGATCAGAGAGACAAAAGGAACCACACATAGCTGATGTTAGGCTCTCTGCCTAATGTACTTCTAGGAAGTATTTAGTGAAGACTGCTGCATGAAACCCTTCCCTAAATAAAGTCCTTTTTATAGTCAAAATAATATGCTGCCTAGGCTTGGAAGTTACCTTGATCATTGCCGCTTTGTTTTTTAAAAGCGTTTCAGATATAATTAAGTGTCTTGCATTAGAGTGCCTTCTCTGTACTGTTACTTGGATCTGGTTCAGCTGCTATAATAGAGAATGTTTAGTCACAAAACCCAAAGGTTAAAACAAGACCTCACAAAACTTTATTTTAAATACACTGGTACATGATTTATATAATCTGGATTAATCATCACAGACATTTAATTTGCCTTTGTACATTTACACTGCTGCTTTTTGCACTTTCCTACTATTGGTATGTAAGATATTTTGATACTTTAAAAAAAACCAGTATATTTGTATGTTTTTTATAAGCTTTTTTTTCAAGGGGGCATAAAAAACACAGTCCCAAGTACCATGAAAGGTGAAACCATTTCAGTGGTACGAAGAATTCCCCTTGAGCATTCCAATATGCCAGTATTGTGTATATTTCTCTCTTCTCTCAGGGGCTTGAATTTCCTTATGCTGAGGAAGAGTTGGAACTTGGGTCTGATGCATCCTGGGGGACTGCTACAGCCCCTTCGCTGTTGGATAAAAGAATGCTTACTTTTCTGTCTAATGCTTAACAGAAGGCAGTCCATACTAAGCCAATTTATATGCCTTGAAAACTAATTCCTAAGGGGAGAAGAGCCAAGTAACAATCACTTGGCCCATAATGCCCTGGAGGCCTGATTGAAAGCTGAACTACACAGTTGCGTTTTAGGTGCATTATTGTTGCCAGTGCCCAGAAGATACAGAGCTTCTGAATTGTTAAAGTCTAAAATTTTAGAAGCCTAAAACATGGGAAGGTTAGAGGTCTGTGAACAGAAGGCTTAAATTTATGTGCCCGTGTGATGCTTAAACGCAACTCAACTCATTTTGACTCTGTGTTAGAGGCAAAAAACTACACCAAGGCTAAGTATTACTCTTTTAAAGTTTCTGAAGTCCAAACTGTTCTTCATGCTTTCTAATGTAAGATGATGTGTATATGATCTTGAGGCAATTGCTTTGCACAAATGCAAGATTTTAATTGTAGCACCATTTACTTTTTCACAGGAAGAGTGTTGGACTTGGGTAATAAATGAACTTTATATGTGAAATTGTTGTGACTGGCATTTGCACGTAACTTTGGCATGAAGCTAATTTGGTTGCTGAGTCAGTTCACTTCAACAGCAAAATACTAATTCCATCTATTAACATATTTATCAAGATTCATTTTGAGAGAAGCCTGTTCAGTTAAGACCTGTGCTGACTATAGAGATATGAAAGTTTTGTTAAAGTGAAGTTGTATTGAGAAGCTGAGAAGGATGCATGTAGTTATACTACAAACCATAAATTAATTAATGCTCTGCCATTTTTATTACCAGTGAACATTACACCTGTTGGCAAATTAAAGTTGATGTAAGGATGTACTTCTGTGCTGAGACCAAGTACTACCTAGTTTGAGGTAGCTGGATGGTATGGTACCTGCAGAGGTTGCAGCTGTTTGGAGGTAGAGCACACCCATCAGGCAGGGCACAATGTGCTTTATGTGGTTCCAAGCTGTGCCATGAAGATGTTGCTTGTCTGCTCTGGAGCTTTCACATGTCCCAGTGAGCTTGCTTGATTCCTTAGCATCACAGAGTGTAAGTGATGATGATGCATGATTCCAACAGGAATATAACTGGCAACATACTGTGTAGGTATTCACAGTGAAGCTGTCGTTTGGGATCATCTTTGTTTTAATTTCTAGCACTGTGATGTGAATATTCTTTCCTGCTTAGCAAGAGGCAGGAAAGAACTCCTGCCCCTTGGAACTGTTGTTTTCAGACTGGGGAATGGCTTGTGTTTTAAGAGGTATTTTACAGCCATCCACCCAGAGCACTTTCCTTCTGGATGCAAATAACCAACCAGTTAGAGCTTTGATTAGGTGATGAATTCTTAGGACTGATTGCACTGACTTCTCCTTGGATTTTAGAGCCTGCTCAAAGGGTATTTAAACTGGTGAATTTTGGATGAGATTCATGGTATGAGTAGTGCAAGACTGAAAGTTGTTCAAGGAAGTGTTCTTTGAAAGATATACATAGAATTTTAGTAGAACATAATTCTGTGTATTGGCATCATGCTCAAAGATGCATCTCAGAGTCTGTGTCTATAGTCAAGTGTGTTCAGTGTTTTTAGAGGCACAATAGAACGGTGTAATTAGAAGTGTATCTGAAATTATTAAAAGAATGTAAATCGTTTAGTCTCCTCAATTCCTGGGTTTTTTTAAAATCAGTTCTGACTGTTAGGGCATGTTGAGACAGTTTAAATTCCTCCTATATTCTCATACCTCAGAGCTTCCCATTGGCTGTCTTTAAACTTTCAAAAGCACCTATTCAGTAGGATGCCCTGGGGTCAAAATCTTAGGAGTATAGTCTTCAGAGCCCAAGGGGTTTAAATACAAAAGTTAACCTTGCCTCAGAAAGGCCAGACTGCTTGTCAGTGGCAAGGGGAGGATCTTCTTATTACTCACCCTTTGCAAGTCTTACCTGAGTGATGAGAGCTGGTTGCCCTTCTTACTCCACTGCTCTTAGGAAAAGTTAGAAATTACAGACTGCCAAATGATTATTTATTAAAATTTAAGTTATAAAAGATGCTGAAGTGCTTTCAAAAATTTTATCTCAAGACATTCAAGGACATCAATTTTACCCCAGCAGTTATGTCATAGTAATAGGAATATAATGTGTATTATGTCTTTTTTTTTTTTTTATGTTAGCAGATGGACCGTATCTTCAAATCATAGAACAGCCAAAACAGGTAAGAAGAACTCTACATTTTGAAAAGTTTTAAGGTAGCTATGTCACTATATTCAGCTTTGAATAAAATTATTACTTAAAGTGAGAGAAAAAAAGGTATTAAAGAGGTTGAACTCTCATAACAAATGTTGCACTTAGCCACCAGCAGATTTTCCTCTCACTTTTGTAGTTACATTGTTTCCTGTTTTGTTCTGTTTTCATCTTTGTCTCTCTGGAAGTGTCATGAGAAAAAAAAAACCAACAAAACCTGAGGTTTTTAAAAACATGTCTTGCTAAGATAGACTCTTCCTCTTAGAAATTACTCTTACAGTCCCCTGGTATTTTGAAATGTAAATTAGTAGACTAAACATGGAAGATTTTTAGAATTTGTGTCATTTTTCTTGAAACACATGGAATAAGGAAAAACAAAAACATTTCATGCTGGGGTTGATCAGCCTGGAGAAGAGAAGGCTTTGGGGAGACCCTATAGTGGCCTTCCAGTACCTGAAGGGGCTACAGGCCCCCCCCTACAGGAGCTACAACCTCCCTGGGTAACCTATTCCAGTGTCTCACCACCCTCATTGTAAATAATTTCTTTCTAATGTGTAACCTAAATCTACGCTCCTCCAGTTTTAATCCATTACCCCTTGTCCTCTTGCTACAAACCCTTGTAAAAAGTCCCTCTCCAGCTTCCTTGCAGGCCCCCTTCAGATACTGGAAGGCCACTGTAAGGTGTCCCCAGAGCCTTCTTTTCTTCAGGCTGATCAACCCCAGCTCTCTCAGCCTGTCTTCACAGCAGAGGTGCTTCAGCCCTCAGATCATCTTTGTGGCCCTGCTCTGGCCCCTCTCCAAGAGCTCTATGTCCTGCTTGTGTTGGAGGTTCCAGGACTGGACACAGTGCTCCAGTTGGGGTCCTACAAGAGCAGAGCAGAGGGAGAGAATCACCTCCCTTCACCTGCTGGCCACGCTGCTTCTGATGCAGCCCAGGACATGGTTGTCTTTCTGGGGTGCAGGCGCACATTGCTGGCTCATGTTGAGCTTCTCATCAACCAACAGCCCAAAGTCCTTCTTTTTTCAGGCCTGTTCTCAATCCATTCTCCACCCAGCCTGTGATTGTGCTTGAGATTGCCGCAACCCAGGTGCAGAACCTGGAAGCTGGCCTTGTTGAACTTAATGAGGTTGGCATGTGCCCACCTCTCAAGCCTGTGAATCCCTCTGGTTGGCCTCCTTTCCCACCAGTGTGTCAACCTTGCCACACAGCTTGGTGTCATCAGCACACTGGCTGAGGGTGCACTCGGTGCCACTGCCCGAGTCACTGACAAAGATGTTAAACTGCACTGGTCCCAGTACTGACCCCTGAGGAACAGCAGTTGTCACTGGTCTCCGTTTGGACATCGAGCTGTAGACCACAACTCCTTGAGTGCAGTCATGACTACTGGATCTGTTGAACTGCAGGCATAGAGGTCAAGAGGGGCTGGGTCATCCTGTGCACTAGGACTGCAGAGGTTGCTTTGCCTTTTGTGCAACTTGTGTTCAAACTCATCATAGCTGAGCACTTCACTTGCAGTGCCATCAGTCACTCAGTGCACTGTAGGAGGGCAAGTATGTGCCTAAGGATTAATTGCATTGTCTGAGCAATATCTGAACAAAAGTCAGATCTTTCTGTTTGCCTGAAAAACACATTTCTGAACTGAAAGGGCTGTAGTGAGGAAAGTATTGAAGTTGATGATTACGGAGTGATTATGGAGTAATTTCGGAACTGTGTTGTTCAGTGTCAGCTGATACGAAGTTTGAATTCAGAATTGTCTGTGATTAGAAAGAAGCCGAATGAATAGTGACGGAGGGTGCAATACTAACTGGGCTGTTTGGACAGATACTGGGAGCCCTGTGCCAGAAATTGCTGAACTGGGCAAGTAGATCTGAAAGTATTCAAAGTTGGAGCACACATGAAATAATACAGTTAATCAGATTTAGAGTTACCAAATACATTTGCTTAAGAATTACATCTTTTGTGCTTTCCAGATTACCCTGTCAATTAAAGAGGATGTTATTTCCTCAAATAAAAATGTAATAAATGAATAGCTGGACTCCAGAAGGGTTGCTAATATCATACAGTTGCCTAGGGTATATTCAGACATTTATTTATGTAGCTGAGATTAAAGTGCAGCCTTTCATTAGCCCTTGAAGCTTCTGTGCTGTTCCTGGACTCCACCTGGAGATACAGCTTTCACATGCTCTCCCAGAAGCATTTCTGGGAGAAAGAAGCATTTCTGTTTCATCCCTGTTCTTTTCTTTATGATGCTTTGGACATGCTCTATCATTGGCTTCAATTCTCTCTACCTAGCAGCAATTATGGGAGAAGGTATCTGCTCCTGCACTGTCCGTCTTTTAATTCTTGTTTTGAGCATATAAATAGATCTCTGCTTCAGAATATCTTGCCACCTATCACTTACTGAAAGAAAAAAATTATGTTGCTGCTTTGTTTAAGAGTGAGAACAGTTTCTCCAGGGCTACAGTTCAGTGGTGCTTTGTCAGCCAGCACTCTGATCGCATTTCTGGGATGAACAGTTGTAACTTTTCTGTTTGTGGGCTGTTTGAGAAAGTTTAGTTTGTGTGTGTTCACATGCACTCTCGTGCTTTTTTTTTTTTTTGCCTTTTTTTTTTTAGTTTTGTTTCTAAACAGCTTTCAAGTTTCTTTTTACTTTGTTTCCACAGAGAGGGTTTCGTTTTCGATACGTGTGTGAAGGGCCTTCACATGGTGGACTTCCTGGTGCTTCTAGTGAGAAGAACAAGAAATCATACCCTCAGGTCAAAGTAAGTACATGAATAATTGATTTTGCAAAGCAAGTGCAAGTGGCATATCTATGTGTATAGGACTTTACTGCATATCAACCTTAATTTGTGTGAATTTACTGAAGGGCAACTGTATTGCAATTCCAACTTTCAAAATGGAGTTGATTTTGAAAAAGAAGCTGTCTTCAGATCTGTGGAGTTATTTTGGCACTATATATATATATTCTGGCAGCTAAGCAGTGAGCTTTCCTGCACCTACCCCCTCACTGCCCTAGTGCAGACTAATGGAGCTCTTCTTTAAAGTAGTTAAGGCTAAAGCAAGTCCTGAGCTGCTCAGTTACTCCACTGCTGTGTACTGCAAAGCTTGAGACTGGTCAGTTATTCCACTAGAAGATGCTCTTGACCAAATTTTCCTTATTTTTCTGTTTATGTTACTCCTTATTCACTATCTCTAGGATACTCTGTTTTTAAGGACTTCATTCCTTTAAACAGAAAATTTCTGATTTTAATGTAAGCACCATTGTGTTCAGGTGTTCACTGGAAGTTTGTGGGGCTTTTTTCTCCTGGAAAAAAATCAAGAACATTAATCAAAGAAACATTCTCTGCTAGCACAATATAAAGATTGTAACAGTGGTGATTAATCATTCTAGGACTAGAGGACATTCTTTGCCTATGGTTCTTGCAGCAAATTCTTTTTCAGGGAAAGTGGGGAAAAGATGCACTGTGTCTTTTCAGTATTTTTTTTAATGCAATGAAAGTCTTTATATTGGGTTACCTCTTTGAACTTTTGCACTGCAGATTGTCTCAGGAGGAGCAGGGTTAATGTTCAGGTTTGGTTCTAGGATTATCTCTTACTCTCTTCTCCATGGGGTGAGAAGGGGAAGGAAGAGTGGCAAGCAGCCTCTTTTTTGGGGCACGCCGCTCCTCAGGTTTCTCTGCAATATGTGTGTAGTTCTTCTGGAGTCCTTGAGAAAGGCTGGAGTTTGGAGCAGTTGTATCTCCCTTCATGAATCAGTATGACCATGACTCAATGGAAAATAATCAGCATTGACTTAGATAGCCTAGGGTGTTAATTTTGTAAATTGAGAAGAAGCTGGGAAAGCTGATTTCATGCAGCCTTGCAGAACTCCTATGAAAAATTACTAGCCCAGGCAAAGGTTCTGCTTGCTTTTCCCTTGCCTATTGTTTTGGTAATGATGAACCAATGAATGAAATTTCAGTGGTATGTTCAGTGAATTTAATTTACCTCAAGCCAGATCTTTGGATTCCAATCCAATCTGTATTGATAACAGTACAAATGATACTCTGTAAGGTGTGATGGGTTGCACAGTAGCATGACAAGGAGTTGCGTAATAAAGAGTTATAGAGGAAATGGAATTTCTCTGTGAGTAAACTAGAAAGCAAAATGTTCTTTGGCTTTCCATCAAACCCTCTGTTTTCATTGATCATCAGATTTTAATTTCATCTAAAGATTCCACACACACACAAGTGTGTCCCTCTCCTCCCTCCCTTGCGTCCTATTCTGTGCATCTGGGTTTTTCCTAGTATAAATCCCCACATGGCAACACCTGCTGGGAGAGGCTGGCAAGGGAACACAACAAGTAAATTCCTCAAGGCCATTGCTTGTTAGTGCCTGTTCCCGATTCAAGTTGTGCCAGTAAAGACAGAAACATTTCACACCTTTTCCTGTAAGTCTCTTCTGTGTTTTGTCCGAGGGTGCTTACCTTGTCATAAGTGAGGTGAGCACAATTGAAGATCACTGGGTTTTGTTGCTTTGGGGTTCTTTTGTTTTGTTTGGCTTTTCTTTTTTACTCTTGCACCAAGTTTTTCAACATAAAACTTTCATTTGTTGATCATAGTGCTGTGAAAGGACAGTAGTAGCATGGGCTTTGGCTGTACTGTGGAAAGGAGGTTTTGTGATGGATCTTTAATCCTTGGCCTGGTGTGGTCAGTGCAGTTCACGTTGGAATCTTTTGCTTGGCCAACTCTGCACGGAAACCTGTTGTAATTTACCAGTAGCTGCCATGATTTCTTGAAAACAGGTATCTTCAGTGCACAAAAAACATGGCAGTTTCCCTGCTCACTTTTTGTAGGATTATGGATTTAAGTCTGAAAGAAAACTTTTATCAGATAAAACCTCTTGTGTAAAATGGACATTTCAACTTCACTTCTCTTGTTTCCTACACCTAGTCCCTAACTTGTGGCTGAGCTGGAACACAAGATGTATCTTCCATTTAAAGGCTGGGATGCTGAAGACTTTGCTGTGTCTCTGAAGATGTTTACATATTTAACCACCTCCTGTATAGTATATTAGGAGATGGTGTAGTTCAGGATTTAGTGTAGCAGTTCTGCAATGCCAGTCTTTACACTTAAGACAAATCTGCACTGGCTAGCAAAGTGAAACTGATGTAAGACCTCTTATTTTAACAGCACAGTTGTGACAAATGGAGTCTAGATAATATTTCTTTATAGTATAAAAAATTGGATTAATTAATCTTTATAATATGTGGAATTATATTCCCTTGTTTAACTCTGTTAACAGTAACCCTAATATCAGGTAAAAAAGGTATTTTCAGAGGATTTTGTATAAGTTTTCATGTAGTTACAGAGAACAGAGAAGTTACAGATACTGAACATGTTATAATGAAGTTACATTTTATGACAAGTTTCATAATTACAGTAGAGAGCTGCCTAAAATTCTTCACTTTCAGTTCATTTTTGACTGCTTCATATATGTACCACACCATAGGAAAATGTTACTGCCTAAAACAGTTGAAATCAAATCTCCTGAGCTGCTTATTCATCATTAGCTTTTTGTCCAGGGAAAAAAAAAGTAGTCTATAGCATAAGAAAAAAGAATAAAACTCTGTTTTCTAATATCTAAGCTTACTTAACTATATATGATTTTTTATTCATAATCTGCTTGGGCTTATATATTCAAAAAACTGTGAGAAAACTTGTCCAGAAAATTTCCAGTGGCCTCCTTGCACATTTATCATGTGTGTCCTGATGTTGCCTACTGATGTTAGTGTAGGCATATTCGTGTTTAACACCGAAGTGCTCGATCCAGTTTTGAGTTTGAAAGGAGTTTTCTGGAAATAGTGGTGTGAAGAAAATGTCCTGAATTTTCATCTCCTTGGAGGCAAATCTGTGTGGGTGGCTGCAAACTCAAGTTGCATGTTCTCTGTGAGCTGGATGCAAATCAGCCCCAGCCCAGAGGCTGAGTAATCGATTGCTCAGAGGTGTGCCAAGCTAATGAGCATCATCTCTCCCCATGACTTGTTCAGCTTGGGAACCGAAGCTCCATACCAGTTAGGCAGCCCTGAACCTAAGCACTCAAACAGGAGAACTGCCCATCTAGTTGTATCCTGGGGCTATACTAAATTATTCCTCAATTTGGAGATAAGCATTCTTATTGAAATTAGGGAGATTTCAGCACTTACTTCAAGTCCAGGAGGGAGATGTATGGAAAATTAGCCCAGTTACTTTGGTGATGAACCTTCCTGTTGTTGTTGTTTTGTTTTTTCCCCATAGGAATTAAATTATAGATCATTGATTGTAAGTTAAAAATTCTTTTTAGCACCTGAATTAAAGAATAAACATGAGACAAGAATGAGCAGACTTTCTGTTATAAATCTTTACCCCTACTGAAGAAGATTCAGGCAAATCTGTATTCAGTGAGATTTGTGCTTTTTACTGTCATGGTTAGTTTGGCTGAACATGATACACGGAGTCTCTTTAGTTGGGCTCCTAAAGCAGAGACCTAACTGCAGTTTTGGCATGAGAGGGACCTCACATTCAGAGGATCAGAACATCTTCAGCTCCCATGGGTTTAAGGAACTTTACACTTCTTATATTTAGACTTCTAACTAAGTAAGTTGCCTAAATAATGTGTGTCACATCTGAAATATTTTGTCTTAAACCAGCAACTGAAAAAGAAAAAGTCACTGCGCTGTGAAAACACCATTTATAAAGAGCAAGTGATGCCTCACCTGTGGAATGCTTCTGTGTGTGTGTTGAGGACAGCACCAGTCATATTCTGGAGGTTAGGCAGGATTGGGGTTGTTACAGTTGTAGTTGTTACAACAGTGCTTAGGAAGAGAAATAGGTATGCTTGTAGTTCCTGGCTTTTTAGGTTTGACACTGTCCTTTCTATCATTGACCAGTTGATTTCACTTCTTGCTTGTAAGAATAACTGGAAAAAACATCTTTGAAGTAGGAAAACATTCTTACAAAGGTTTCTGAAACTGTAAAAAAATTGGCTGGGGTCTGGATCACAGGAGGATGTGAAATAACTGAAAAAACTTTCAACTCTTGTTTTGAAATTGACTCAATTTCAAGTTCACAGGGTCCTTTTAATCTCTCAGACAAATCTTTCTCAAACAGAAACAGCAAATAAATGTGAGCCTCCAGCTTCTTAATTTTATCAGATGAGATCAATTGAATGCTGCTGCAGTACAGGATGTAATCAAGTATTACAGCTATGCTCTTCCCAGGAACTCCATATTTCCTTTTTTCTCCCCTATCTTTAATTTGAAGCTCAGTAGCTATTTTGTTCAGATCATAGCTCTCATTTTGAGCAGTACAGTACCTACATGCTTTCTCCCTTTCATGTCGAGTTTGTTTTTGTCAACACCATAATCCTTAGGTTTTTATGTATAACCAGCACTGTAATATATTGTCTACCTCTTAATGCCTTTGACAGTGTTTTTTAAGTTCTTATCTAAAAGGTGATAGCTATTTGTGCCAGAATAAATTTTTAGTTGTTCTGTAATTGTGGTGTCAGTGATTCAAAAACTATGAAAAATTATTTCAAACTTAATTTATGGTACATAAGGTTGTTTAACCACTGAGACTACTTTGCTTGGCATGGAGATAACCTGGATGTCTCAAGATCAAGTAGGAAAGTCTATAAGAAATACAGGTAGGAAACAGTTCAGGGACATTCTGTAGCCTTTGCACCACAGACATCAGACTTGATGACAAAGATGGTTCTTTCTTGCCTTATGACCTACATAGAAGGTGTTACGTTTTAAAAACCCTTTTGTTTTTCCCCTGAGAGAGACTACAAAGATCATGCTGAGCTGAGTAACAGGGGGAGATTGCAATCTGGTTACTGCTGCAGTTCTATGTTCTGCTTTCAGAGCCTGGAAAGTCCTTGACGTGCAGCAGTCCTACCTACAGTTTCACTGTGGTTTCTACAGCTGATGAAGGATTGCCTTGAACTTTTCTGATGTGACACGAGAACATGCATGTTACTCATAGTGAATATAACACCATAGATGTGCTGGGAACTTTATAGCAGGGAAGGGCTTGTTTAGTAAGGGATAAAAGGAAAACAAAATTTTTTATGTGCCCCTCTTGAAAAGTTATTTGTAGTAGTTGTGACATGTAGCACCCAAACTTAATTATATTTATTTTCAAATTACTTTCTGAAAGTTACATAGGGATCCCTGTATTTCCTCACTGCTGGTATGTGGTGGAAGTGGTGAAACATGGCTTATTCTACATTCTGTGGTGTTTCAATCCAGGAGGGTTTACAGTTTGAAGACAGGAGGAAGCATGAGTACCCCAAGTTTTGTATTTTAGAAACTGCTGCTTGTAAAATGCAAATGAGTACAGTATCATACAGTTAGCAGGCCATGAGAGTAATGAGAGGAATTTTACACACCTGTTTCTCCTGGAACAGCTCTTTCATAGTTGGGATTCTTTTCTGCTTTTAGTGGTGAATAGGAACACAGGCAGTTCACACATTGTATGTATGCAGAGTGTTTCACCTGTGATGGAATGGGTTCAAAAGAGGGGTTAACTGGATTGAAGGAAGCTAGCAGGACTTAATAATGTGGTAAAATCATGGCAAACCCTAGTTATCAGCATTTTATCAACAATATGACCCTAAGTATTCAGTTCATCACTGATTCATCACTTTAATGTTTATCATGATCCTTTAATGCCTTGGTTGATTAGATCTATAAGCTGCTGTAATACAAAGAACTTTGCCCAAGGCAAATTAGAAGAAAAATTAGAGGAGGAGGGAAAAAAACCCAACATTGATAAAAGGGTTAATTAAGTGAATTGGAAGGGAAGGTAATGTTTGCTTTTTTAAAAGTGGGGTAATTTTATGCTCAGCAAAATTTGAAAATTGTGCATAAGCTGAATTGACAAGTATTACTTGTGAAGAAAGAAAATGAGGTTCTAAATAACAGATGTAAAACAAATAACTTATCAAATAACTTACCAGTCAAGTTAATAATAATTTTACATTTGTTTTTGAGGCATTGCTTGATATCTTGGTTTTAAAAGCTATTAAAAAATGTATGATAATTAGAAACTGTAACGGGAAAAAAGACTTTGTAGTCCTCCAGAGTTGGCTATACTAAAGACTCCCAGTTTATCATAGTTCAGTCCTGCAAAATTGTAGATGGGGAATTTAGTATATATTCTCATGTACACTTAGGGGAAATATTTACTGGACTGGGTAATACGTGTTGATGTAGCATAATAAGCTAACAAAGTACCTAGGAGTATAGAATTCATTCTAAAATCTCTACCTGAAGACTTATTGGAACAAGGCTAAGATGTTTTAAAAGTCATAATATTTAAAAATAAATTTTGAAGTGTTTTTAAATTGGGCAAAATAATACATCTTTTGTTGTTGTTAAATATGTACATTTTCTTTATGTGCATATAACAGTGTTTATTGTGAAGTTAATGTGCTACTTGAAATTTAAGGAGAGCAATGTGGAATAACTGGCCAGAATATAAAACTGATATTCATTATTTGGAAAAGGTTGCTGTCCTTTAGCTTTTTTCTACTTCTTAATTTTTGTTTGTCACTACTCCTGCCATTTGTATGTCAAGCTTAATTACAAAAAAAAGTGTTGGGTTTTTTTGGTGGTGACCTGGTACAGTTAGTTTGTCATTTGTATTTCATGAGAAAATGGGTATGTATTTCTTCTGTGTAAGTTTGATTGTACTTTAGCTAGCAGAAAGTAGTTAACTGGAATAATTACTTCTTCCATTAAAAAAAAAAATCCTAAACAATCCCACATTTTTTAATATTTATTTACAGATCTGCAATTATGTTGGACCTGCAAAAGTTATCGTCCAGTTAGTTACTAATGGGAAATACGTCCATTTACATGCTCACAGCTTGGTGGGTAAATTTTGTGAAGATGGAGTATGCACAGTTAATGCAGGACCTAAAGATATGGTTGTAGGGTAAGTCTGTCAACTCGAGTAAAGCTGGGCGAAGGGAGAGAGAATCATGTATGAGCACTGTAAGAAGAGTTACAAAGATATGATGAAGAGCCAGCTAAGTGACGCACTTGTGTTCACGCTCTGATCTGTTTTGTTTGTATCATAAATAGAAAAATTATTGGTGTTTCTGTTTACCTCAGTAGAATTTGTCCTAAGTAGGTTTAAGCAAATAGTTTTAACTTAGAATTTGTATAGTTTCAATCTCCTGGTGTGCAGTCCAAGTTCGTATAGTAAGCCCATTCTTTAAAATGTAAGTCGTTTTGATCAAAGAGAAGAGGCTGTAAAATTACTGAAGAAAAGCTTGTTGCCTTTTTGATTGGTATTTACTGAAATCTGCCAATAGGGATATAGTTAAGGGGAAAGTGTTAAGAAAATAGGGTTAGTAAATTTGAAATTAACACAAGACATGTATAAACATGAAAATACTAAACGAGTCAAAGTTTTTAAGTTTAAAGCAGTAAGATTATAGTGAAATTGTAGTTGCTCTGTTCTTGTTTAATTTAAAAGAATAATTGTATCAGTAAATGGAGCTGAGGCTCCTGTCTATGTTTTCAGGCTTAGATCAGGTTTCATGCTGGCTGCAAGTTTTAGTTCTGTGATCTCAAGAATGTCTTTGTTGGTGAAGAAGATGAAGTTTAAAAAGCTGAGAAGGTTGCGAGAAACAGATTCTTTTAAACTGTAACTTTTGATGTCCAAGCCCAGTGCACTAGCTTTACCAAGCACAACAATTTAAATAGCTTTATTTGAAATGCTCCTTTTCATCTTGAAAAGTTTGGCTCATTTCCTAACCTGGCTTGTTTTGCATCAGATATTTAGAAACAGCTTTCCTGTCCTCAGTTGACCCATGTGAAAATTGAGTTATTGTCTTGTTTTCATACTTCCAGATGTAATTGATTTTTAAATGTGCCAAAAGATTTTTACAAAAGCAGATCTTGTATTATGGAAGTTTTTATTCAAATGCATACCTGAAGTGTCTTGCTGAAAGTCCAGAGCCTTGTTTAAAACATTTCCTTTGGAAACTGTAGCACTGTTTTTAGCTTCTTAGCTTGCTCTCCAAATAATTTTGAACGGATGGAGTTTATTCTGAGCAGTTGCTCTGCATAACAGCCATATAGAGGTATATATAGAGAGATACATATCTATAATTGCCAAGACGGAGCAAACAAAGCGTGACAACCAGATTTTCAAGTATTTTTTAAGGTGCTTCCACATTGTGAATCGGAAATAAATGAATAGTCCCTAAGTTAGCCTGTGGAGTCCTTTGATGGACTTCAGTTGGGTAGCTGCCCCTGGTAAGAGAGTTACTGCTGCAGGTGTGGCATAAAGCATTAAGAAAAGATTTCCCTCTGTCAAAATTTGGCAGGTTTGCAAATCTTGGAATACTTCACGTCACAAAGAAGAAAGTACTTGAAACTCTGGAAACACGCATGATAGATGCTTGCAAGAAAGGATACAACCCGGGACTCTTGGTGCATCCTGAACTTGCATATTTGCAGGCAGAAGGATGTGGAGACAGACAGCTAACTGGTATGTAGAAGTGATGGCCTGGTTTTAATAGGTCTTTTGCTAAAACCTGATTAAGCTTCTGAAAACACAGATTCATAGCCAGAAAAGGCCTCAAATAGGAAAACAGGCTATGGATATGTGCTTTAATGGGTGATATGTTGTTGCTATGATTAAGAGAATCTGAAAGAAAGTCTTTGCTGTCAACATGAACATGAGAATCGAGCAACTTCCTTCCATAGCTGCCTGTACCCACCCTTGCACCTGTATTTCATTATCCTGTTAATGAGCTGATAAATAGAGTAATTTTGCATTATTGCTGTAAGACATTTATATCCTTAAGTAACTAGGGGACCTTCTTCTGAGAATAAGGTTTCATCCACTGCATTTCGCCCATATCCCTGTGAAACCTGTGGCCTGCGTTGCTTTTAGGCCTGTATAGAGGGGCCAGCCTTCTCTTTATCACTCTAATACCAGGTGTTCTAGTGTCCTTAGTGGTGACCTTTGCACAGCCTTTTTCAGTTGAGAGCAGAAAACAGTCATTTTCCATGTGTGCCAGTTATATACCTTATCTCAAATAACACCTGGTGCCCAAAATGAAGGGTTAATGTAGGATCTTCTGAATAGCTGTTCCTCTCCGCTTAAATATGGAGAAGCTGGTGGATACTAAATTAGAAGGAAAACATTTCCTTCTTGTTGGTGCCTTTTCATAGGAATGTTTAGAAAATTCTTATGGGTCCCCTACCCCTTGTGTTAATTTGTCTGTCTACTCGTCGGTTCCAGAACAAGAGAGAGAAATCATTCACCAGGCAGCAGTTCAGCAGACCAAAGAGATGGATCTCAGTGTGGTGCGTCTCATGTTTACAGCCTTTCTCCCTGACAGCAATGGTAGTTTCACACGAAGACTTGATCCTGTTATATCTGATGCAATATACGACAGCAGTAAGTATATTTGGCTGTAATTACTTTTTTAATAAGGGGCAAGCTTTTGTACATACAAACTTGATATGCAGGTATTGCTGTACATAGACTCATCTAGCCCTGCTGCTTGCTGGTTATTTGATCAATAACAAGTAACCAACTCATGGACCATCAGCCTCATTTCTATCCAAATACACATGGTATCATTCTGGGTTGGTATGGTGGGATGGTGATGTAAGCTGTAAAGGAAGATTTTTATTTTGCTGTTGGCATATTCATTCATGCCACTTTTATAATGAGGATTTTGTAGATTCTTGTAATTCATAAGAAGTGCTTGAATTTTGTAGGTTTCAGTTGCTCTCTATGACAAAGTATTGTCACACAAGATGTCAAGAAAAAATTACTTTTGCTTCAGTCTTTCTTGAGTGTTTGACACCTTTCAGTTTTGCTGGCCATGTGCTTGTCCTTGTTTTGTGAGACTTACACAACCAGAGTTCTCAATCAATTTCCTTTAGAACTGTCCAAGTATTATTTATATTTCTCTTACATCCCTCTGTTTGTCTTTTTTCAAAGTGAATCTTGTCAGTTCATGTTTTCCCTTGTGCTTTTTGACTATACTTGCTCATCTTACTTGACCTCTTTCTGCTGCCTGAGTTTACTTCCCTGTAACTGTGAATTACCATTTTCCTGATAGTAATTCTGTAATGATTTAGAAAAAGTACATTTATTTTTTTTTTAATTTGTGCAACAGTCATGTCTATATCATTGCTTTTTAATGACAAAGTCTAGATGAAAATGTACTAAATGCAACTGTTAAGTTATATATTGCTTGCTATTAATTGGGAATGCAGTGATGTAGCACAGCCAATATTTTGCATATGTTCACCAAATGAAAAAAAAAGTCTGCTGTATTTATGGCACATGTGACCATCATATTCTGGATGAGAAAACACAATCTGAAGTGACTCACCAAACTGTCTTTAAGGAATCTTGATTTGCATTAGAAACAATTACAGATTTCATTTGTTGTCGTAACTCTTGTCTGACACCTGCATAATGGTAGAGCAAAGAGGACAAAGAATTGAGGTGGGGCATGTATCAAGCCATATATGCAAAAACAGGTGAAGTTAGCAGATCATTCTGAATCTGGCCATCAGAATTTTCACCCCAGCTAAGGAGATGAATAGAGGGGAAATTTTCTATGCATGTTTTTGCTGATTTAAGTTGCTACATAGATATCAGTTACTAGTTTCTGAGCTCCCAAGGCTAATTCTTAGTTGTTTGTTCCAAAAGATTTTTCTAGTTTTTTGGGGGTTTTTTAATACTCTTCACTGGCACCATTCAAGTCTCTTCTAAGGAGCAGACGCAACTTGTGGTAGCACAACTGTCTGTCATAGCTGCTGTTACTTATCAGGTGATAGTGCTGTCTTGAGGACCAGTGGGTATCCATTGATGCCTCTTCTAAGATTCCTTGGAGGTGGGCTTTTCGAACACAGTCTGGCATGATGGCCAAGGACTGACAATGCTTTCAAGTAAGCCACAGTGTAAAGCAAAGCATTGCATATTGCATTCAAATAGTGAGGTGCTGGAAACAACTCTTGAGTGTCACACTGTCAAGAAAGTAGGGAAGAAAAAATTACATTCTCTTTTAATGTACTTTTGTCATGAAGTTTGTGCTAGTGCAGAGTGCTGGGTGCAGTTCATTGCTGTGCTCCTTTACTAGTGCAGTAATTGTGCTGGAATGACCAGAGCCTAATTTCATAGTTCACAGTTCAACCAGAGATTAGAGAATACAAGATTATGCCTTTCAGATTAAAACCTGTTGATTTTTTCATGTCTTAAAAAAACTGAGACAAATTTAGGTAGGTTGTATTGTCTTTCTGATGCATTTCTTTGTGTTGTGCTTGTTTTTTTTAAAAAAAATCTAAACCTGTTTTTTAATCTTTCAATAGAAGCTCCCAATGCCTCCAACTTAAAAATTGTAAGAATGGACAGAACAGCAGGGTGCGTAACAGGAGGGGAAGAGATCTACCTTCTCTGTGACAAGGTTCAGAAAGGTAAGAGAATTGGGTATTGTAAGGCACACCAGGATGTTCATTTGGAGTACATGTGGAGCCTGCTGTGTATTCTCCCGTTCTGATAGCACAGGAGGATTTGTAAGCACTCAGACTTTCTGGAAGCCAGCAGTCCAGAAAATGAGTAAATCAGAATTGTCTGTTGCAGAGCAAATTCAGCTTGTGTTGTCTCCACAGAGACCATGTAATCATCTTAGTTGTTCTCTAATTTTGACCCTTACCCATGTTCTCAGTTTTTGTGGATGGTGGGTTCTGGGTGATGTTTGACTCCATTAACTAACACCTGCTCTGAATTACTCTGAAGTTTCTGATTTATTATTAAGTTCCTGATTATAAAGAGTAAGTATGAACATTCTCTGTTAACCACCAGTAGGAACTGAATGTATTCAACATTGCTGCTAGTAACTTCATTTTTATGCATGTATTAATGTTAGAGGTTACTCAGCGTAAACAGGTAATTCTCTCAGACTCATTTTGGTAATCTCAGTTTATGGCTGTGAATGTGTCCGGATTGGGCAGTGTAGATTTGGATGCTCTGGTTTTGATTAGGAAGATAATGGCTAATGGGATTGGTCTCAACTAAAACAAAAAAAAGTGAGGGAGAGAAATCCTTCACATTTTTCAGCTGTAGGTAATACCTGGGACTCCCTGGTGTAGGTTGCATGGTGCAGCGAGTGCCCAGTTCTCAACCAGTTTGGAATCAGTCCCTGCACATGTTGATAAAATCAAACGGACTTTTTTCTGTTAATATAGGCTGTTGTTTTCCACAGTATTTCTTGAAAATGTTCTACCACTTAAGAAAGAGGGATGTGAAGGCTTTTAGGGGCTCTGAAAAAGTTGTTTTGCTTTAGTAATGTGTAAACCTCTGCGATCAGAGGAACTGAGATGTAACATAACTCTTGTGTACAAAATAAATAAATAAATGTCTGACTCAGGGGAAGCCCTGAACTGGGGTTTCCCCTCAGCCAGATCGGGGTTTCCCCTGACCTCATTACTCTCAGACACCTCCTGCCTGAAGGAACTTGAGCATGCAGGACAGCGGGACTGGAAGTGGTGGTTCAGAGTCTTGAGATTAGCAGATGGTGGAGCAGAGGAAGCAGTTTCCTCCAAAGGGCCTGTCCTGTGTCAGTGACCCTCAGAGACAATAGGCTTTCTCTAGGTCTTTTCTCACCAGGAGTGCTAGGGAAGGAACAGACTAGTGTGATCTTTCCCAGCTTCTCCTAACAGTATAAACTACAAAAAAAAAAAAATAAACACAAGGAGGATGTAGTTGCTTAGGGGAGCGGAAGCCAAATCTCGATGTGTCTGGCCCGCGCTGTGCCGGGGGTGAGGGCTGAGCTGACTCGCCGCTCACGCCCTCCGAGCTCCGCGGTGGCGCTCGGCCAGCAGCAAGAGGAACTCTAGCTGTGGTACTTCAGGTTTTGCTACCGTTTTCTGAACTGAAACTGCTGGAGCAGAGAGTGTGGTTTCTACATTTCACAGTTCAAGTTCTCCCCTCCCTACATGTTTGTTCCAAATAAAGCTCCTCTGGAATGCCTCCTAGCCCTATAATAGGAAGAGGTAGTGAAGCTAGTTCTCCTTTCGCTCCTCGGTAAATAGAGAGCAGCTTCAGTGAAGTCATTAGAATTAGGCAGATCTAAAATTGATGGAAAAAATGGATTATTTATGATGTTTTCATAAAATGGATTAAGATAATTCATGTATTATTCATGTAATGTTACCATCCACATAACCACGTTGATTTTTATCTGAAATAAACTTAGCCAAATGTTAAACAATGCACAAGCATCTCAAAGAGTGTTTCTTTCACTCTTTGCAGATGATATTCAAATACGTTTCTATGAAGAAGATGAGAATGGAGGTATGTGGGAAGGCTTTGGAGACTTTTCTCCTACAGATGTACATAGACAGGTAAGTAACATCATGTATTATTTGTTAACGATTTTCTCATCTCTGCAAATGAGGATTATATTACAATTAGTTAATTAAGTGAACGCATCTGTATCCCATACTCACTTCTTCTTTTGTTCATTACTTCCTAATAATAATATAATCATAACTGTTCTTAAAGATGTACCTTAGCTAACTAGGCAGGGTAGGAATACAATGCAAGGAAATTGGGAGACAGACCCATTGCATTACCACACCAATTGGGATGGGATAAATAAAAAGCTCTCAGAGCTCCTTTGGCCACACTTAGAAAGCAACACAATAGATACTAAATGAAGAGGGGCCAAACAATGCAGTGCCAACATAAACGATATGGTGATACTTTTGCATGGCAGTTCTGCCTTTCTCAAAAGGACTGGAACTCAAAGGCGCAACTGAAAGCAAAAGGCTGCTACAACAATAAACTTCCAGTTAAATTTTCAGTTGCACTTTTGTACTTGCCTCCCAAGCTGTGAACCAACTCCTACAAAACAACACAAATGTACAAGCAAAGTTGTCAAAGCCCATGCTCCATGATAGATGTGCTTATCACCGTTTTCTTCACAGTTTGCTATTGTGTTCAAAACACCCAAGTATCGAGATGTCAATATCACAAAGCCAGCATCTGTATTTGTACAACTGCGTCGGAAATCTGATCTAGAAACAAGCGAACCAAAGCCTTTTCTCTACTATCCAGAAATCAAAGGTAATTCATTAAACCTGTTTTATGTATTGGAAGCAGAAACTGCATGGTCCCTGGAAATGTTTTTAACAAGATAGGACTTGCTGGATGAGTGATTTTTGTTTGGTTTGGTTTTTTTACTTTTATTTTTGTAGGCATTGCTTTTAGGAAATGGTATCTCTGACTCCTTGTTGTATGAAAATAGTAGTAAATCCAAGGGTATTTCCTTAGTGAGACTCACTCCCTGCAAGTTCCTTAGATCCCTGCATACCTGTACATACAGCAGATGGCACTCTCTTCCTCTGAGTTTCTGCTAAATATCTGAGGACATTTTACTGTCAGTACTTTTCAGATAAAACCTTAAACCAAAGATAGGTTGGTATATGGTGGAAAAATTACTCTCTCCTTTTACCGTGATGCCTCACAGTTTCACAGATGTTTTTGGGTTTTTCGGTTGCCAGTACTAGTTAAGCAAGCCCAAGACTGTTGTTTGTGAGAGCAGGGAAAAGTGCTGTTTCAGTCTCTTTGTGCTGAAAGGTTAGTCTTTTAGCAGAAGTAGAATAGCTGGCACCAGACCTGCTTCCTCAGTTGTAAAAAAAGTGTAGACGATCTGTGCCCTCTAAAGTCTACATTTGAAATGTTTGAGGTGAGTAGCAGAAGTCATGGTTTTAAATATCAATAATGTTAATGACACAGAAATGCCTTGGGGCCAAGGTCAGAATTGGTGCTTAATTGTACTAGGAGCATAATATCTTGCTTAACGGTTTACCTGCCTGCAGGTTATACTATTAACTCCTGATCTTGCACATTTTCAGTGCTTAGCTTAGAGCTGTGTTGAAATCAATACCCTGTCAACCTCTAAAATACATGTGCATCAGTGTTGATGGACTAAGGACAGCTGGGGTAGGGATGCCTGTTACAGTAAAATAGCAGAAAGCATGCGTTCCCAAAAACTTCCATAGCTGCTGGAGGATTTTGTATTGATTTCAGGAATCTCTTGCACAGGTCTTATGGAAAATGAACTGTGCAACTGCAGAGCAAAGTGGCCAGATTCAAAGCAAACTTCTTTTATGTGCTTCTTAATGGAGTAAAATTAATTCTGCATTGTTACATGTCTTTTCATATCCCCTAGACAACCTGATCTTGAAATTGCTAACTAGAGACTTATGTGGTTTTGTTTTCTTTCTTTTGTTGTAAGTGTTCACACAAACTTAGATGTGTATGTGGATTTTTTGTTTATTTCTCTGACTAGATTCCTCTCTGGAGTTTCGTCTCCTCATCAGTGTGAGCATGCCTGGTGCATGCATACATACTTATGGATCATGTATGCCTGAAAAATAAAGCACTTGTACTTTTCAGTATTACTGTTCCATGTATTCAGCTCTCGCATCTGATGACTGTGCATGACATTTCTTTTTGTCATATGGCTGTTGAAAACTATTAGGTCATTTAATGAAGGAATGATATTTTGTTCTTTCCTCAACAGTTCTACTGAATGTTAGCCTCTGTAATGTTGGTATTCCTATTTTTGTAGTTCTTGTCATGACATTTTTACTTTCCCCAGTCACTGGAATACTTCTTTTAAATCTTAGTATTTTGCTTTCCAGCAGGAGCAAAGTATTATTTTGTACTTATACTGTAAAATATTTTAAGGTTTTTTTCTACTGCAACTCAGAAAGGTTTGACAGTATTAAGTCCTGCTTGAAAATAAGCTATTTGTATTCTGTGGCTTTTCTGGTATTTTAAGTAAATAATTTCAAGTAAACATTGCTTTCACCATTTCTTGCCATCCTTACCCCTAAACAAAAGTTCAAGGGGCACTGCAGGTACTCTGCACTGTTGAAAATCAAAGCACCTTATGATGTGCTGAGCCTTTGAGAAGGGTCTGTTTGTGAAGTAGATTCACTTAGTAGAAGAGCCTGAGTTTATATTAAGCAAATTTTCTTGAACAAGTTTGGGGTTCAGGGCACTGGTGCTGGTTTATGACTTGGCTTAAACACAGAAGAATTTAGGGACCACTGATTTCTAGGGCTCTAAATACATGAGACCCTTTTGAAAGTAACTCTGACCCCACTAAGGTGTCTCTGTGTGTTCCCCCCCCGAGCCTGAGCACAAGGTACTGGCATAACTGAAGAGGCAGTGCAGGCCCGAGCGATGCTGTTGGTCTGGCTGGGGACTTGGCATCAGCTTCCTTCTCACAGGAATTCTTACTGCTCAATTACATACCAAGTTTTATGTTACTTGAAACTAGAAGACATTCGACTCCTCTACAGCACTCTGCGTTTTCCTTTATAAACTAGAAAACTTCAGTAATGCTTCCTGTATATGCATCCAGTTCTGTGCGTGGCCTCCACAGAGAGTGACTCCTTATCCCCTCTATCCCCTCTAACCTAGATAAAGAAGAAGTGCAAAGGAAGCGGCAGAAGCTGATGCCAAACTTCTCTGATGGCTTTGGTGGAGGCAGCGGCGCAGGAGGCAGCGGCATGTACGGAGGGGCAGGCGGCGGCGCTGGCTCTGGTGAGGCAGCAGGGCAGCTGGTTGGGGCAGAGAGGGAGAGGGTTCTACTTTGAGAGCAGGGCAGATGCTTAGTTGGATTTTTAAAATGGGATGAGGATTTTGTCTCCTTCTAGGTAGATAAGACCTGGCTTTACTGTCTTTATACCAGTGTTACTCATTTCAGTCAAGCATCTCCTTGTTTTCTAAACATTTCGTCAGCTCCTTTGCCTTCCTACTTGCATATAAGGCTCGTGGTGATTTGGTTTTTTTTCCTCTTCCTGGAAGCTTTATGTCACACATAACAACTTTCTAGCTGAGGGGAGTCTAGGTCAGGAATGGTCATATTTTAGCTTTGTTGCTTCCTAGGGATTTAAAGACAATGAAATTCATGAGACGGCTTAGCTAAGTACTCTCTTGGGTGCTTAAAATTAAACAGGTTTTTAATGATTTCTGGGATCAGGAGTGGAATTTGGCAAATTAACCCTGTTAGTGTAGATAACCATTAAGAAATTTGAGATGCTGTTTAGCAGATCTTCTACTGTGCTCTGTCTGTTGAAGCTAGAGCATATCTGAGGTGCAGGATCATAAAAGAGCAGGCATTGCTTTGATTTGTACAGCAGAGCATTAAAAAGCTGTAGATCAGCACATGTCATCTGAACCCCAATACTTTTGCAATGCTTTTTTTGGAGTGAGGGACAGAGCAGCAGTTCTCAAATGGTTACATGCCTTGCTGGCAGCAGGTCTGTAACACAACACCAGGATACAAATCTGTTGTAATCACAGATTTGAAAGCACAGAAGTAGCTTGTGAAGGCTCAGATGATGCATTTGTGTGGCATTATGGATGCTGGGACAGAGTGTGTCACTAGTCAACCACCTAGAATTTCTTTGGATTTTTTAAGGGATAGGGAAGATTTCACCTTCAGTCTGGAAAATTTGTTTTAATCAGATAGAATAAAGCAGAAGGTATGTGGAAAACAAAAAGCAGTTATTTAGTCTCAGTGTTCTTCTAGGTGGTGTTTTAATAGCTTTAGGGAGTAATTCCATTATTTTTCAATATTTTTCCTTTCTTCAGGGTTCAGTTATCCTTCATATGGATACTCTGCTTTTGGAGGGATGCATTTCCACCCTGGCACAACAAAATCCAATGCTGGAATGAAACATGGTAACAGGAAAAATGTCGTTCTTGAAACAGTTAAATTGAGTTTGACAGTTTATTTTCTCTTACAGTATAGGTCTAGCTAAGCATGCTATGGAGGGCTTCTATATTCGTTTTATGTTTTGAGCAACAGCAGGTGACCCAAGCACTAGACAGAGAAGGAAGTAGCTTCCTTTGTTGCCACAATCTGGTACTATGCAGTAGCCCAGAGAAATAACACAAGAAGTCAATGGTAAAGATTTAAGTTAATAAGGGTACTCTTGGCTTCCTAATACAGGGAAATAATTTCAAATCTATCTGGTGAATACTCTGTAGTTATTTCCAAAGCCTCAGGGATGAATTTACTGTCAGAAAAAAAGTAAATCTGAATAATTCTGCTAGATTTCCTGGGAATACTTGACTTGCCTTCTTGTACCATAAAAATAGAAGGTATACCTGCTGTTATGCATAACAGTTTATGTCTAAAGCAGAAACTGTCAAATCCAAAACATTACTTCAGAGCAAGTCTGTTCCTGTGTGTTGGCATCCAAAGTATTATGATTCTTGAGTAACATCCATGTCAAAGTAAATTTTTTTTTTTTTTATTCAGTCCATTAGGGTTTGGTTATGGCTAGTTGAGCTTTATTACTTGCATAAAAAAGCAACAGTATTGGACACTAATCATGCTATTTTTTGTTTGAAGGACTATCAAACAGCACAGCTGAAGGAGATGGGAAGGCCTCTGATAAACAAAGTGACCAACGGGACATGAAACATCATGTGAAAGTGAAAACTGTGGAGAGCAATGAGTGCAGAACCTCTGGTGATAATGAGAAGAAGGATACTGCATCTTGTAAAACTGAAGGGAATGAAGCAGATTGCAGGTGGCAGGGTAAGTGAGTGATCAAGCTAAAGTATGGAAGAAAAATGGTGTTAAAGGCCTGGAAACTCCATAAACATCAGCTTGCTGTTTTCAAAATATGAGAATGCCTCCTGGAGGAAACAGGAGAGATTCCATTCCCTCACATCTAAGGTCCCTCCTCATACATAGTTCTGTAGATAATCTTCCACCTTTTTGCTGCCACTGGGGGACTGAACTTCTACTTGTCATGCAAGGACAAGAGATAGCTTAGCCTGCTGGGCACGTTTAGCACTGCTTTATAATAAATCTCAGTGAGGAGCACCGAAAGCAGTGATCTTACCTGGAATACAGTTCAGCAGTTGACTTGACTTTTGATATTTGATAGGCGTTAATGGATGTTGGCATGATTGTTATTCTCTGCAATTCTACTGTTAAACTGTGTGTTAAAGGTAAATTTATCTATTCTAATGTGACAAATACATATTAACATAACACTGTAAAGTCCTACACACTAAACAGGTGAACAGAAGGGGAGAAAGGAAGGAGTAGTTAGTAGAAAGGGCTTAGCAACAGAGTTATAAAATATAGAAAGACTACAAATTGCCCTTACCCAGACAGTAAAACTTCCTTTTCCTGGATTGTTTTTTAAAGGAGCCGATGGTCACTTTTAAAAAGTATTTGAGTAACCCTGCTTCTCATAAAATTAAAAACACCCTAAGAGTTAGACTAGAGAGACATGGT